TTGCATGTTCACATAGAAGGGAAGAATACCAAGAAGGGGAAGGGCCACCAGGTCAGAGGCAGTTAACAGTCCACAACAACGTTCTCTTCATGCTCCACTTTGATGGCCATGCAACCAGGACATGGAGTTCTCAGGGAATTACTGCGAACCCTAGCACACATCATTCTTCTTCTCCTGCTAATTCTCCAAGATGGCAATGCTGGAAATGTGTTTGAACTCAATCACATGCCTGTGGATGCAGATATGACCTTGGTGATGGTAAAAGAGAAGGAAGATGAGATCACAAAGCAAGTTTCATGTAACATGCGCTGGTAAGATCTACATTAACAGCAAAACTCAAAGGAGGAAGTAATTAGCTGGTCGTAAAAGGATTCATATTTAGGAGGCTGTGAGGTTTATTCTCTCCCTACGGCAAAGGCCTGTAGAGGCTACACCTATATAATTCTCTCCCTACATCTCAGTCTACAAGCAAGTCTCTCAGCAGGTAAACTCAAAAAACCCATCTTTTTTCTGCCTCTCTCTCTCTCTCTCTCTCTCTCTCTCTCTCTCTCTCTCTTTATACTCCTTCCTCTTCTTCTCACCTCTTTTTCTGTGGAGACCTTCTTGCATCACCTTGATCTCAAGAAGAAGAAAAAAGAAGTATCATTTGATGCTTCAAACGAAAATTTCTACTTTCGATGACAGCATAACGAGATCCAACTTCAGCTTGTTTTCTAGTTTGAACCTTTCTTTTCTATTTAATCTCTTGTAGTTGGTTTCTGCAACCTTAAACCTGCAAATTTTCAGCTGGCAAAGAAGGATGACTGCACTCGTTTCCTGTTTCTTTTTTCTTTCAGAAGAAGAGAGGATTCAGCAAAATTAGCTTCCATGGGTCGCGGAAAGATAGAGATCAAGAGGATCGAGAACCCAACAAACCGCCAAGTCACCTTCTCCAAGCGGCGAGGAGGGCTCCTGAAGAAGGCAAACGAGCTTGCTATACTATGCGATGCACAGGTTGGAGTCATCATCTTCTCCAGCACCGGCAAGCTGTTTGAATACTGCAGTCCACATTTGAGGTATATATGCATATGAAAGCTCTTTTACTCTCACGAATCATCTTTTTCTTCTCTCTTGAATTCTCTTCTTGAGATGTAGTAATAGTATGATAGCTTCTAAGGGACAAACAAAAAAACAAAAGGAACAGAAGAGAAGTATATAACTTTTAGTCTGAGCTTGAGATCATACTAAATGTCTTTCCCATATATTTGTTGCAGTTCATTTCCTCTGTCACATTAAGGTTATTATGTCTTATGTTCAGCAACCTTCAATCATCTTCTTGGACTACCCTATATCTTAATTTCTATGATAATTTTTTTGCTGTTGCAAAGTAGATGATTAATATATATTGATTACTTTTCTGTCTTTGCCCATTGCTTGCTTCCAAGTTTGATCAGAGGCTTGTCTTGATCTTCTCATGGGTGGTTTTGGATGAGATATATTGGCATTAGTCTTGCTTTCCAAATTGAATTATACTCTTATTTTTTTGGATATACTTAGAAAAAAATAACGATGGAAATAAATTCTCATATGATGCCGATACCATCTAATACATAACATTTGCATTAATTCTTCTGTCTAAGCCTAATGATCGCATCGATTCTTCTGACTATGAGAAATGTATCTATCATCTTCCTTTCGCCTGTATGCAAAAATATGCCCTTAATTTTCAAGAACAAATTTGAGGAAGGGAATTATACACATTCTTATCTTAGTTTCCTGTTTTTCTTTACTGCACACTCGACCTTATATAAGCTTTCTCTTCTCTTTTGTCTCTTTGAATCACACTCTTTCTATGCCTTATGCCCGTTGCCTCACCATTTTGATGTACAAACACAAACATGTTAAGGGTGAAGCTTGCATGAACAGTACAGGAAAAAAGTCATCTGATATGATCATCAATCTTCATTTGATTCACACAGCAATAACAACATTGTTTCCTTTGGTTTTAGCTTAAATTTTGGATCAGACGTTTATTAAAACTTCTTGCTATTGCTATATCCAAAAAAATCGCCAATATATGGCATCATGAATCGATTACTATCAGAAATTACCTTTTGTACTCTCTTTCTTGGCTTTGTTTTCTGAGTTTCTATTCTAATCTCCTTTCACCAAAATTGAAATGAGCTGTTTAGCAAAAGATCTCTAGGATTTTTGTCTCAAATAACCCTAAATGAACAGAAGGATGACAGATTTGAATAGTTATCTCTACTACACCACACTCAAACATCAAATTTATTGATAAGTGTATAGGGAAAAGTTATCTTTATATATATAAATATATATCACATATTAGCATCTTACTCTGATGCATAATTAGCTCCTAAACAACTCAATTTGCAGCATGCGACAACTCATCGAACGGTATCAGAGAGTCACCAACACTCATTTTGAGGAGATCAACAGTCAGCAGGTATGCCTTCCACCCCACCTGATTGGTGATCAGTTGCTTCAGCTTTCATACTTCATTCTATGTTTCCACTTAAGCAAATCATTTGTGAGATATCGAGGATGAGAGACGAGAACGATAAGCTCCAGGCAAGCATGAGGCAGTTCACCGGGGAAGACTTGGCTTCGTTGACTTTGAATGAAGTGAATCAACTCGAAGAACAGTTAGAGTACTCTGTCAACAAGGTTCGAGCAAGGAAGGTAATGTGTTCTATCACCTAAACCAACATCCTTCTTGAAGGTAATAGATTAGCAGATTGGTGCAAGACTTTTGACTCATTTTTCTGATTGTGAGAGCAATTACTGAGTCTCATGGCTTGGTTTTGTTCCTCACCGTGGTGAACTTAGTTCTTTTATTAGCTTTGATGAGCATAGATTAGCAGATTGGTGCAAGATTTTTGACTCATTCTGCTGATTGCGAGACCAATTACTCCATCTTATGGCTTGGTTTTGTTCCTCAGTGTGACAAACTTATTCTTTTATTAGCCTTGATGATGAGTGTAGATTAGCTGATTAGTGCAAGATTTTTGACTCATTTTGCTGATTTCGAGACCAATTACTAAATCTTATGGCTTGGTTTTGTTCCTTGCCGTGATGAACTTATTCTTTTATTAGCTTTGATGAGCATAGATTAGCAGATTAGTGCAATATTTTTGACTCATTTTGCTGATTGTGAGACAAATAGTACTGAAAACACACCTCCAAATGCTAGCTTGAAGTATTCATCTGTGCTTCTTCACTGATACTTTTGCATCGAAGTGATTAATTTATATATATATATATATATATATATATATATATATATATATTGTATGAATAAGCTTAAATTGTTTTACTAAATGATGAGCTTAGGAATAATTAGATTGGAAAGAGGTATTGAGCTTTCTGAAACAATACAGTATGATTCATGGGCAGAAGAAACCTAAAGGGAAGAACTGAGAATCTATTGGAACCAAAGTACAGCAACTTTTCATGATTGTCATGATGTGTGGTTTGTGATTATTCATGAGAATCTTTCAATGCATCAAAATCTCCATAAAGAAATCATAGAGACAAGATAAAATCGAGCAAAAAGAAAATAAAAAGGACAAATAGTCCTCAAGTCTTTTGCTGTCTCACCAAATCTCCGAAGTGCTCTCTCTTGCTGTTTCCAATGAAGTCAAGCTTTGTGTAATTAGTGCTCTCTCTCTCTCTCTTACTGTTTCCTCCAGCATCAGCTGCTGCACCAACAACTGGAGAATCTGCGTCGCAAGGTAAGTTCTCAGCTAGATGGACCAGCATTTGCCTTCCTCCCGCTAAGTGTACGTCTCCTGACAGGAGCACATTTTGGAAGATGAGCACAACTATCTCTGCCGCGTGGTGAGCAGTCCATGCTAGACATGCAGCGGCTCTACCTTTGTCTTCCTGGATATAGATATGTTCTCCTGCTAAAATTTTCCGGTGGCGGTTGACGGCAGCTTGCGGAGCATCAGGCGGCGATGGAGCATCAGCAGGTGGTGGCCATGGAGCACAAGGTGGGGGACGTGCCGATGCTGGAACACTTCGGCCACCTCTACGCCGAGGAGCCGTCGCGGAACCTGCTGCAGTTGTCGCCCCAAATGCACGCTTTCCGGCTGCAGCCGACGCAGCCCAACCTGCAGGAGGCCACCTTCCAGGGACACTACCTGCAGCTGTGGTAATCAAAGCTCCAAGCATCTTGATACTGAGTCACTGCATTAGGGTTTCTGTGGAACTCTTTGGCTCCACTGGCTTGATCTCTTGCATGGTCTTTGGCAGAGTCTGAAGCTTCAGCAGAAGAAACGACGAGGAGGAAGACGAGTCTTCACTTTCCTAGCTAGAATTCTCTTATATGGCAAATAATATAACCTAGACTTTGGTGTGAACTTTTCTCTGTGTCTTCTTAGCTTATGAACTTAGATTGGAAAGAACAGTTGCATGCATGCAACATGATGTGTGTGCGTATGTGTTTGCATGTCCTAAGTAGGTAGAGAGAGATGCAACATTGGCATAAATCTGTCATTCCAATGCAGATATGATTGACCTCCACGACTGCATGCTCTGTCATTCCAAGGAAATCAAAGCTCACAGAAAGATCATTCGAGGATCTCTCTGTGACATTATTAGTTCCCTTCCCTTTTTGAATGTAAACATGATTAGTTTTAATGTATAGGAAAGCTTGCCGAATCCATGTTTTTTAATATTTAGTCTACCAAAAGAAATAATTACAGTTTAAAATAGTCAAAGAAAAAAATAAAAAAAATAGTATAAGAAACAAAAAAAAAGAAATAAATGACACACAGATAGAAATCATATTGAATTTTAATAAACATAAATTAGGTAGATAAAATAATAATAATTTTGGATAAAATTAGATATAAGCAAATGATAAAATATAAAATATAAAAAATGTGGTCGGTTCGGTCTGAGTTAATGTGGGTCGATGTTATTAATTGGGCCGAGTAATGGGCCAAAGCCCAAATTAGCCCGGTTCGGTCTATTGGGGAATTATGAGCTTCCAGATGAACTCCTGGGTCACGCGATTCGGCATAGGTTCGGTTGGAGGTAGCGGGGGACGACATGGGCGGCGAGGAGAAGTCGCGGCGACGACGGCGGCACTCTCGGTCTCCTTCTTCTTCCCCTTCCTCGCTAGGTTGGAAGCTGAGGATAAGAGTCTCAACTTTTCTTGCTTTTGTTTTCATCTCACGATGGTTTTGATCTGATCGGCCTTTTCCCGACCCAGATGAGGAGGAGACGAGCCGAAAGCGCCGGAAGAGAGACGGACGGGAAAAGAAGAGCCGGAAGGACGAGAGTCGTAGTAAGGAGAGGAAGAAGGAGAAGAAGCGTGACGAGTCGCCCGAGCATTCCAAAAGTCGTGATGGGAAAGGTTGGGGTTTGGCTTATATGATTCTTTGTTAGGGCTTTTTCTACGTGTTGAGTTGCCCTTTCCTTGATGTTCACATGTAAAGTTTCCCTTTTTTAGGGTTTCGATACATATTTTGATTTTGATTCGGTTTGATGGTTTGAAGACGATGGAATATTCATCTCTGTAGTTAAGTGTTTTCGTTGTTCTTTTTCATATGGCAATTTGGACTTGTTTTTCTTTTAAAGATTAAGAATTTATTTGCTTTTTGCACTGTATCTACTTCTGGCAGAAAAGAAATCGAAGGAGAAGCACAAGCGTAGAAGAAAGGAGATGGGTTCGGTGAGTACTATCCTTTTATTTCTTGAAGCAGTTCTGCTGCTTATTTTACTGAATCGTATAGCAATTCTTCCTCCATTTGAAAGTAATGTAGAAGTAACACCTTGCTTTTGTTGTCAATGTCAGTTGTCATTAGTATTTGAGTATCCATGCCCCTGGTCATGTATTAGTGGTTTGACATGTAACATCCACATCTTGGACCATATATTTTGCGTCTCTCTAGAACTTTAAGATGATGATATATGAATGATTTCTACACCCTGGTGCGCTTAAATTTTTTTGAGGATTGTAAACTCATTTAGATTGATTTTTGGTAAAAGCACAATCAACATACCTTCAACATATCTCTATCTGGAAACCACTACCAATTTTGGTGTTGGTCATACATATTCAGAACATAGCCTATGGCATATGAAATGACAGTGGATACAAAAGGCTATCATCTTCATAGGTATTTCAAAAATGAGAAATAGTCATCCATGCCGCTCATATGGGCTATCTTTTTCAATAGGTATATCAAAAATGAGAAATAGTCATCTATGCTGCTCACATGGGAAACATTGGCAGGGTGTGGATTGTTTCGGCTTTCTCTTCTTCTTCTCATTTACATTCCTAGGGTTGATGGCATCTTTCAAATGAATGTGATGACTGTGTGCCGATAAATTTGTAATATTGTCATGTCTAAGCTGAACTGCTGAGTTTTCGGTAGTTCTTAAAAGGATTGATTCACCACAAAAGGGTAAGGATAAATTTTTTGACACCAAAGTTGTATGAGATACCTAGATAGATTAGAAAGGCTCTGGTCCTATAGATTTGATTCGAACCATGAAGTTAATTGCATCAACATAACACTGTAAGTTTACCACAGAATTACTACGCTCTCTGATTGTTTTTTCTCCATTATGCAAATCAAGTTTGAAGAGCTTTCCAAGGATGACTATTTTGCCAAGAACAATGAGTTCGCGACCTGGTTGAAGGAAGAGAGAGGCATATATTTCTCTGAGCTATCGTCGGACGCAGCAAGGGAGCTGTTTTCAGGGTTTATCAAAGAGTGGAACAGTGGAAAATTGCAGCCGGTGTATTATGAGGGCATTGCTAGCGGACCCCGGACAGCTCATAACTGGAGGATTAAACATGAAAAATAGGCCGTGAGATCCATGGATGAATCTTTGAAGCTTCAAAGTGCCGAATCTCTACCTTTTTTGTTGCTCCTATTGCTGTGTAAGCGCTTAGTGACATCTAGTGTGCTTGTTTCTGTAACCAAACACATTTTCTCTTCCAGTTAATAGATATGTTGTTTTGATTCACAAGATCTGAGATCCAAATGTGATGTTGCCTGTTGTGCTTGATTTCAATTCTATTTCTGAACTCTCATATTTATGGGAAAAAAGCTTGTATCTAGGAAATTTTTTTGTCATGAGGTAATGCAGACGACTTTCCTTTTATGGATAATGTTTTAGATCCTAAGGCCTAAGCTGATCTAAGTGTCCCATGTTGGGATGCTGTCAGATTTAAGGTCCCAACAAATCCATATTTCTATTGATCACTCTTTCATCCTTACTCATATCCAGGACAACCAGATACTGGTCATTGCATTCTTTCTCTCTTTGCAAGTTCAAAGTAATCCAAGTCTCATGCAGCTCGAACACAACTTTGCATTCAATTTTTCTTGAAGGGAGATCAGAGGATAGAGTGCACACAAACACAAAAAGACTAAGTATTGTCTTACAGATCTCAAAGGCAAAATTACTGCTTATTCTGGGAAGTGAAATGCAGTGGTGAGGCAAACGAGCCTTCAGATACATGGAAACATGAGTGTGATCCAGAAAAATTCAACACATCCTTCAATGCTTGGCATCTTCTTCCTCACAGAATTTGGAGTATCCCTCGGAGTCCATCAATGAATTCAACTCACCTGTATCACTCATTTTGACCTTTATAATCCAGCCATTCTCGTATGGCCTCGCATTGACCTGAATTATTTTAAAAAGATAAAGATTTATCTCAACATGTTCTTCATCGATCACTTGAAGGAGTCGTTTTATGAAGCAATTATATTAGTCTGCAAGACAAGAATATTAACAGAGGGGCAAGTATGATAAGCATGAACAATGGACACCAACAAACTCCAAGACTTGGATTGATCATAATATGCTTCATTCAATTGTGGCATCAAAATTTATCAACAGCTATCGGCGTTTGTAATACTCCAAGACTTTGTTTGCGATACGTTTTACAAACAAATCCTTAAGAAAATTGCCATAACTTTAAGACAGCTATCAGCGTCAATATTAGCCAATTTACCTACTGCCTTAGAGTTCAGATTTTCCAAAGCATCGACACATAATCCACCGAAAGCAAGATGAACCATTCAAACACAGGCAACAAGCTTTCTCTATTCTATAGGTAAAGGATTCCAGGTTTAGCAGTAGTTAATCTTTACCTGCCAAAACATTCTAGGACTTCAAGCTCTAAAACCAAAGTACTTCAAGTTCTTAGGAGCTAAAGAAAGTGTATCATTCTTCAACAGTTGACAAATTATATGTTTTTTCTAATTGTCTTTTTTTTTTGTCATGTTGCTATTTCAGATTACAGGAATACAACCTAACAATTGAGGTGGATAGATTGAAGTCACTCGACTAACCTTTCCTAAGATCATGAAGTTCTCCCTCCACATTATTTCTAAGAAAATGGTGCAACATAATAGAACCAAAATCAACCTGTGAACAGAATGGATTTGCATGGCAACTTGATCTTGGCCAACCACAATATGCTGTCACTTCAGCTAACAGTGAGACTGGAATAGCATCAAAATTGTGCATTATACAAGTGAATATGGTCGGAAGTCTGTCTGGTGTAGCCATTTATTGACATCATCTACATGCTCATCTCAACTGAGAGTGGAAACTGAAGGGAAATGTATTTTACATTTACAGAATGACGTGTGAAATTGATGGACACAGAATGCAACAATAATCTGCTCTATTGTAACATCAATATGGTGAATATGACCAAACACACCTGACAACTGCAGTTGGAGAGAGGAGTAAAAGCTGCTACATAGTCAGTTGGTCAGGTGAAACCCTCTTTAGTTCCAATCAATTGGCAGTGTCGTTTTCATTGAGAACCAATGGATTTAGTGGGATGTGAAAATTATTTCCAGCATGTTTTTAACCTTTTCAATCTCAATAATTCAGTTACTTTTGCATCAGAATGAGCTATTCACCAGGAGGAAAACCTTAATATTTTTAAAGACAGCATTTAGCAGTTTCCAACTGGAAAGTTATGCTCATCTGCTAAGGCTTTTGAGCACTTCTCGATTCTCATATCCTTAATAGATTAGACATCTATTAAGGATATGAGATTAGACAGCTATTAAGGACATGCTAAGGCTTTTGAGTAGTAGTGACTTCTTCGGATACATACTCCTCATTTCTAACTAAGGAAGCCACTTATGTAAGATAAAGCAAGAAAAAAGGCTTAAAAAGTAAAAAACCCGACAGTAAGATTAGCTTGATTGAGGTTTCCATCAATTGTACGATTTAAATGTAACAGCCAGGAGAAGATATACTTTTTTCTAAGATAAAATAGTGGTAAAAAGCAACTTGTTGAAAACTCACCAATCCTGGTGAACCACTTAGTTCAGTGTTGACTTCAACCACTTCCCCGGAAACAGGAGAATTGACATCACTGGTTGCCTTGACACTCTCAACTGCACCAAAGTTCTTTCCCTGCACAACAGAGGCACCAACTTCTGGCAATTCAACATATACAACATCACCTAAGTGATCCTGAAAGGAAATAACAAATAGAGTTTCGTAAAAGGTACGCACATCAAAACCGTATACTCATACGAAATTGTTGCAAATCAGAAAAATAGCCAGGTTTATAGTAGGAAGAATAATTGGTCAGTTGAGATGAATATAACATCAGTATAGTATCTACGGAAACAGAACTGGTAACTGGGAAAAAAAAATCTGGCCATGAGCTTCCACATTCTTGAGACAATTAGTCGTGTTGAACGGTGTTAAGGAACTAATCCAGAAAACAAAATTACCTGAGCATGGTCAGTGATTCCTACTGTTGCAGAAGAGCCATCAACTTTAACCCACTCGTGTGTATCAGCATATTTCAGATCCTTAATAACTGCAAGAAAAGATGATTAAGTTCAAGATAAGTTCTCTATATTTATGTTTCTTAG